TCTTTTTATCCTCGGTGGGAACAATACAATACGTGCCTTGCTGCCCCTGCTGTCACTGGGAAAGGACACCGCAAGATTGAACCCAAAGCTAAGCACTTCTCCCATTGCAAGAAAGATCAATCTAGTAGGCCAAACCAAACTGATAATTCGAAGAGACTTGCAAAGATAACCAATCATACATAAAAGAATTCAGAGAAGATTCAAATATTGTTCATAGATAATCTTGATCATAAACCCACAATTCATCGGATCTCGACAAACACACCGCAAAAGAAGATTACATCGAATAGATCTCCAAGAGAATCAAGGAGAACTTCGTATTGAGATCCAAAGAGAGAGAAGAAGCCATCTAGCTAATAACTATGGACCCGAGGGTCTGAGGTAAACTACTCACACATCATCGGAGAGGCTATGGTGTTTATGTAGAAGCCCTCCGTGATTAATGCCCCCTCCGGCAGGACGTCGGAAAAGGCCCCAAGATGGGATCTCACGGGTACAGAAGGTTGCGGCAGTGGAATTAGGTTTTTGTTGTCGCTTCTAATGGTTTGGGGGTACGTAGGTATATATAGGAGGAAGAAGTAGGTCGGTGGAGCCACGAGAGGCCCACGAGGGTGGAAGGCGCGCCGGGGGAGGGGGGGTAGGCGCGCCCCCTACCTCGTGGCTTCCTCGTCTGTTGCTTGATGTCCACTCCAAGTCCTATGGATCACGTTTGTTTCAAAAATCACGTTCCCGAAGGTTTCATTCCGTTTGGACTCCGTTTGATATTCTTTTTCTGCGAAACACTGAAATAGACAAAAAAAACAACAATTTGGGCTAGGCCTCCGGTTAATAGGTTTGTCCCCAAAATAATATAAAAGCGTATAAATAAGCCTATTAAACATCCAAAACAGAATATATAATAGCATGGAACAATCAAAAATTATAGATACGTTGGAGACGTATCACTCCTCGACTACCGCTATCTGGTGGGTGATCGGTGGAGCCTTGATTTCTCTCTGATCGGGTTTAAGCCCAATCCGATCGTAGTCTGTAGCGACCCCCAGGACGGCGATGCGATCTAAGAGCTCGTTTAAAGACGAAAGCTCTGCCGGATCCATCTGTTTGGAGTGTTCAGAGTCAATGCGAAGGGGATTTTTGATGACCTGAGAGGTCATCGTCGGCTTAACGGCCGAACGGGTGGTCATGGTAAAGCCGCCCAGTTGGAGGGTTTGGCCTGGGGCCGGTGCTCCTCCAGAGGTGATATTGTCCTTGAGAACAAGGCGAGGCATCGATCCTATCTTCGACGTCATAGTGGAACTCTCAATGAAAGCACCAATGTCGGTGTCAAAACCGGCGGATCTCGGGTAGGGGGTCCCGAACTGTGCATCTAAGGTCGATGGTAACATGATACGGGGGACACAATGTTTACCCAAGTTCGATCCCTCTCTATGGAGGTAATACACGACTTCCTGCTTGATTGATCTTGATGAATATGAGTATTACAAGAGTTGATCTACCACGAGATCGTAATGGCTAAAACCCTAGAAGTCTAGCCTGTATGACTATGGCTATGAGTATCCGGCTCTACAGACCTAGCCCTCCGGTTTATATTGACACCGGAGGGATCTAGGGTTACATAAGGTCGGTTTACAGAGAAAGGAATCTTCATATTCGATCGTCGAGCTTGCCTTCCACGCCAAGGAGAGTCCCATCCGGACACGGCTGGAGTCTTCAATCTTTGTATCTTCACAGCCCATCAGTCCGGCCCATGGCTAATAGGCCGGACGCCCGAGGACCCCTTAGTCCAGGACTCCCTCAACAGGTGCGGTGTTGAGGTCGATGGGCATGGCCACGGGCGTGGACGGTGTCACCACGCTCACCTCTGGCAAGCATTCCCCGGAGAAACGGGAGGCTTGCGGATAGGGATTGAAGTCAGGAATCGGCGGCGTTGCATACGTGCGCGGTGGCTCCGACAGTGCCACACAAGGAAAGGCCGACGAGACCGTACTGGCCACGGCCACGACGGCGCTGATGAGCCCGTGCTGGCCTAGTTTTAACTTAGGATGATCAGGGCCCGCCTCATTGCTGCGGCAACTCTGCCATTGTTTTCCTCTTTCTGTGCGGCGGCTGCCAGGGCAGCGGCAGCCACGGTTTCGAGCATGCGGTCCTTCGCGTGCCTCTGGTCTTCCTCTTGGCCGACTACACCGCCCGCTGCTCGGCTGTCAACTACTTCTTCTTGGGCGCTGTCGCCGTGTTGCCGGTGGTGGACGTCAGTGCGTGGCTTGCCTTTGGCGGGGGCGATGGAGGTGAGGCCAGAGGCGAGGGAGGCTGAAAGTGCAATCATGCCCTTACATCATGTTTTGGTATTGATGACAATATACATGCAGGGGACTAACTATGTTCGTCAAGTGAATCTCAGGTGTTAGTCCGCGGTTGACCAAAAGTGTGTGGATCATGAGCACACGGAGTTGATTTTACTCGAGGAAGAAGTATCAAAATGATTACATATTTGTTTTCTTGAGTATAGGATCCCACACTATTAAGAGGGGATCGGTAGGGTTAGTAAAAGACTTGCTCTTGCCACAAAACTCCTTCCTAAAATTCTTTTGATCTATCAAATTCTTCTTGGCTTGTGTTTCTGCCTCTGGGGTTGCCGGATGTCCGGGCTGCTCCCCCGGATGTCCGGCCCGCACGCCGGATATCCGACTTCATGCCACTATATGTCCAGTAGGGTTCTGGTGTTCACGCCGGATGTCCGGGTCTTCGCCGGATGTCTGGGCCCTACTGCCACGCCGGATGTCCGGGCTCTATCCCTGATGTCCGGCCACTACTACCTGTGGTTTAAATAAGGTTTTGTAACCGTTCTGTGAACTCGCCGGATGTCCGGCCACCTGCCGGACGTCCGGAATTGGCCCCGGATGTCCGGCCCCTCTGTTTTTACCTCTGCTTCTGCTATGTTCTTCAAGTGCCTTGCCAGGCCGGATGTCCGGCCCCGAGCCCGGATGTCCGGTCTGCCCGGTCACTTGCACTATAACAGCCACATTTGCACTCACACTATATATAGCTCTCTTCCCCATGGGAGAGGGTTGACCATTCACTTTGAGCAAACCCTAGAACACATTTCACTCTCTCTCTCTCACTCTTCCACACCAAATCTTCGATCCCTAAGGGATTTGAGAGCATTTGAGAAAAGTTGTCCAACCAAGTGATAGATCCACTCCTTCCCCTTCTTTGCACCAAAGGAATTCGTGATTTGAGCAAGTCTTGAGCTTTTCCCCATCGTTCTTGTTACTCTTGGAGGTTGGAGACTCCTAGGCGGTAGGAGTCTTTCGGAGAGGAATCGACCATTGTGATTATCCCAGGAAAAGTTTGTGAGGGTTTGGAGACCACGCCAAGGTCTACCACTAGTGGTTGAGAAACGCCTTCGCGGTGTTGTCTCAAAGGGAGAATAGGGTGAGCCTTCATGGCGTTGGTGTGCCTTTGTGTTAACATCCACCTCTCTAATGGTGACATAGCTTCCCTCCAAGGAAGTGAACATCGGCATACATCCTCGTCTCCCGGAGTTGTGGTTATTCCTAACCCTAACTCTCTACTTGTGGTTACTTGTCTCTTAGCACTTACTTATATCATATTGTACTTGCTTTCTCACTTATTTGTGTTACTTGTTTATCTTGCTTAGCCCTTAGCATCATACTTGCAATTGTTAGGCTCACTTCCATGTTCCGCATTATTGCCTAAAATTGCTAAGTAATAATTAAAATTTGTAATTGTACCTATTCACCCCCCTCTAGGTCCATCTCGATCCTTTCAGAGGCAAGGCCGGCTATGTCGAGGATCAGCTTGTCGTCCATGGCGAGTAGCAAAGAGCGCGAGCGGGCGAGAGTTTTTTGGGAAAGAGGGGGAAAATGGGGGTAGTTGTGCCACCGACTGGCGCGCCAGGGGAGGAGTAGGCGGGCATCGCGCACGTTCGCCTCGTGTCTGCGTCGACTCAAATGAGGCCTAAATTTGAGTCAGGGATGGGTCACCCGGCGGACGAAAAGCGGGCGCGCATCCATTTGGGTCAGCGTGTTGGGCCGACTTTTGTGTCTGTTTTGACCCAAACAGACACGCGCGCGTTGGAGTTGCTAAACGGACACTCTAAAGCCAACTCTAACTCCAGCACGGACATTCATTTTGTCCGAATTTTATTCGTTTAGATCAGAGGGGACGACGTCTAGCCCTTTTTCTAGATGTGTTGACAATGCACCCAACGTGGCCGACACATTTGGTCCGCCACGACCGGGGGCCAAATATAGACAATTTTTGAACTAAGCACTACAAATAGTTTTACAACCAAATAATAGTTTTACAACAAAAAAACACACACTAGCAAATAGTTATACTGCCAATCAAAATTGTCTTGAATACATGGAAAGAAAATGAACCGATATATTTATTGGAGAGTTTTTTTTAAGGCGGGTTCAGGAGAGTTTTTTTGTTTAGAACAGGTTCAGAAGAGTTTTTTTTAACACGGTACAGACGTAAGCGCTCAAATACACGCGCATACATTCATCCCTATGAACGCATACACGCACACCCTACCCCTATGAGTACCTTTGAAAAACTGAGCCGGCATATCATCTTGAAATTTATGAAGTCGCCGTAGGTACCTTGTCGTCGACGGGGTGTGTTGTTGTAATCTGAGTAGAGTAGATTGAGATAACTAAGAGGAAAACCCGCATGTATAGTTTTTTCTTTGTGAGGGGATACTAGCTAACGATGGGGGATCCCGTCTAATCTTAACTAACTCATCCCTTGGGCCCTATATATGTGCCGTTCCTGCATCAAACATACACTTCATCTCGGATCCACTTTTTTTGGGTCCTAGCATATATCGGATCCAGACGAGAGGCGATCGGGATCAAAATCAATACGACAAACAAGGAAGAAATCGATATAAAGGCCCGATGGCTCGTCCGTGTACGTGATCGACCGAGCAAGCAAGCAATTGATCTGCTAGCAGTAGCAGCCGGGAGCCGGCCATGGCGTCCACGCCTTTGAACAAGACGGCGTCCACGCACAGGTCGACGTTAGTCCGAGGCAAGCACCAGTTTCATATCGTCGGCTACAGCGAGCGGAAGGCTCTCGCCGGCGTGAGCGCCAGAAACACCTCCGTTGTCAGGTCCGGCGACTTCGAGGCCGGAGGATGCACCTGGGCCTTCAGTTGTCGCTTCAGGAAACAAGGACTGGCGTCCATCTCCCTGGAGCTGGTCTGCGGCAAGTACGCCGCCACCGCAATGGCCAGCTTGAGGATGGACGACCCGTTTCACCGGTGGCCTGCCGCAGTATGGCGAAGCCCGGGCACCAACACCTTCCCCGCTTCGCCGGCAACAACAAGCAGGAGTTGGAAGCTGTCGGTCCCCGAGGCGTTCTTCCATGGCCAAGAGGAGCGGTACGTGGTAGATGACCGCCTTACCATCCTCTGCGTCGTCCATGTCCTCCGGCTGGACGTCACCCTCCCAAATACCAGGAGCTGCTTCATCTCCGCCGTGCCGCCGCCAACCATCTCCGGAGATCTCCTCATGCTTCTTTTTGCGTCCATGTCTAAATCGGATTCCGTGAAGCACGCCATGAGGCCAGACGTGACGTTCATCGTGGAGCAGACCGAGATCCGGGCGCATAAGCTTGTCCTCGCCGTGCGGTCGCCGGTTTTCGCGGCGGAGTTTCGATGGCACATGAATGAGAATATCATAATCAGGGTCGACGACGACGACATGAGCGCCTCCACTTTCAGGGCCATGCTTCGCTTCATCTACACCGACGAGCTACCCATCAAACCAAACAACGACCGTATGATACTAACAAGCGAAGATAAACATGCGGCAAGGCGCTACGAGGCCATGGTGCGCGACCTGCTGGTAGCTAGCCGCCGATCGGTATGACTTACAGAGGCTAAGGCTTTTGTGCGAGAAGGTACTGGCTGAGGGCATGGATGATAAGTCTGTCATACCTACACTGATGGTGGTGCACGGTAGGTACAGTTGTCGGCAGCTCGAGGATTTATGCATCGAGTACATAGCGTCCCATCCAAATTTTTATAGTGACCTGAAGGCGACCGAGGAGTATAACGAAATCATGAATAGTGGCTGCTCTTTCCTACTTGAGGTCACCGACAAAGTAGACACGATTAATATGGCTCCAAACTCAAGCTCCAACAAAAGAAAGCGAGATGATGGCTTGCCAGATCAGGTGGTAGTCCACGGCTCACACAAGTTTACGATCCCCTACTTTAGGGCTGTCCAGAGGAGCCTGCTTGCTGTTGGTAAAAATACAATCGGTTCCGGCCTTTTTCAGGTTGGCGGCTACAACTGGCAGCTATGCGTACGGTGGTTATACCCATCCAATTCTTCGGCATTCGTTGTGTATCTCTGTTTGGTGAGGAGTAGTCTTGAAACTTCCCCTGTCACTACGTCAATTGGCTTCAAGATAGATAACCCTTGTGGCAAGTCGTTGCCGCCGATAACAATGGTAGAAGAAATTTTTACCAATGCAGAAAACTTCAGGCGTGCAGAGTTCACCCTCATGAAATCAACCAACTCCTCACATGATGACTCCCTCACTGTACACTGCCATCTCAATGTCACCAAGGAGGCTGCTTGCACTAGTTCTAGCACCATCTCCCATGGTGCCGGAGTAACGGTCGTTGTGCCTCCACCCTACATCGGTTTGCACCTTGAGCAGTTGTTGGTGAGTGGGCAAAGGTACGATGTGAGGTTCCTGGTTGAGGAGTGTGACATACGTGCTCATGGTCTCGTAATCGCGGCTCGATCACCAGTCCTATACAAAGTGGTTGAAGCGGCGGCGACCAAGGAGGATGACCATCACATCGTACGGGTTGACAACATGAAGGCGGCGGTCTTCAGGTCTGTTCTCCACTTCATCTACACCGACAAGCTACCCTCTATGGATAACCCAGTCCTTGCTGTTGAAGACATGCTCGCGGCAGCCTGCCGATTCCGTCTCGAGAGGTTGAAGATTGCGTGCGAGAACTTTTTCGCTGACCACATCTCGAATAAGAATGCATTGTGCACGTTGAAACTGGCGCAACGTCACCACTGCTTGGAACTAGAAAAATACTGTGTCAAGTTCATCTCTACATGACTAAACTATGTATGATTTTTTTTGGTCAACTCTATTGTTACTATAGAAGTGCATGCTCTAGTCAGTGCAACTCTATTGTTGCAGGTACAGGTAATGCGATGTTCATGACGCGAGAGCGATGTTTGCATGTTTTGGAGTTCTCCTTCTTCGTCGATCTTGGGTTAGGTTCCTGGTCGGCAGCCTGGGCTGGCATGGTGGATATTGTTTGAGTTTCTGTTTGTGTTTCATCCATAGTCGGATGTTGGTCTTATGGATTATGTATTGATGTATTCTTGTGGCATATGGATGCCTGGTGTGTATCCCCATCTATTATGTAACGTTGATATAATGATATTCACTTTACAAAAGCGTATCAATATGCGGTTCTATCCTTGGTGGGACCTTCGAGTCTCTTTAGGATAATATCGCATATTAGGCGTGACAAAGGCACATAATAATTTTCTAAAAACACCATCGATTGACTATCCACCAAACAAGGAAGATGCAAAACTCGACCGCCGGGTAAATATGTTTTTACCTTTTTTGTGTGGTGCATGGTAAATGTGATTAGTAAACTGAAAATTCATACAGGAACATGCAAAAATCTGTGGAGAGCGACACGAGTTGATGAAGATAAAAAAGAGGCGTCAATTCAGTCGGCCGAAAACTATTATATACCATATGAGAAAAGAACATGCCAATAGATGACAGCAAAATTTATCTAACCCGATTCATTTGGAATAAAACTCCTTTATCCTTGCAAAAAAAATATATGATCATTGATACTTCATGAGGCACGGTTGAAGTTTATTCCTTCTTTTAGTTTCATTCTTCCTGCTCATATTTCTGAGCGAATGGGACGGATTCATCACCCATCACCCTTCGCTTTGATTTTGGAGCTGTTTATTAATTTCAAATCACAAACATATATAAACTGGTGGGCTGAGCTGTGAGGAAGCGAGGTGGGACTATTTCATCGGTAAACGAATCCTACCTTCAACTCACAACTATGAGGTAGCTTGGTGGAGTGAATCCTTTGGGACTGTATATGGAGGTCGTGAGTTCAATCCCTAATGGCACTGCCTATACATTAGGGTTCAAGTTCTGATGCTTGCATTATTCTTGATTTTTTTTTGCAACGTAGACGCTAGTAGCGTCCGGCTTTAAATTAATAAAGCCACCACGCAGGATCCACACAAGTTAAATCTTACAAACCGAATAAAACAGTCATCGAGCCCGCAGCTCAGGATAAAGCTAAGAAGTTCACAGCCACAAGTTTAAGAGCGCAAAAGTGGAGCAACAAGACATAAGCTAGCTAAAAGTAGAGGTTTCATGATCAAGCCGTCATCCCTTGTCGTGCCTTCACCATGGTCCTCTTGATCTGCTCCATAGTCTCGTTCATGCGTTCGACGTAACGCTTCTTCCCCAGCGGTGCTCATACCTGAAGGAAAATATGACATTTGAAGATGATATCAGCAGGGTGAACCGGGAACTTGTGTTCCATCGTAATTTTGTTCCGAACTGTCCAAAGGGACCAAAGTAGCGCCCCAACGCATCTCCAAACGATCTTAGCATTGGCCCCTCTTTGCGTCGTTAAGATAGAAAGCATATCGTGGCTAGACTGTGGATTCCAATTTTGATTGAAAGCGTCTCTAACCGCACTCCACGCGAATCTAGCGAGAACACAGCCAAAGAACACATGGTTCGCGTTTTCCCCTAAACCGCAAGTGGTGCACGTTCCGTCCGCCGGCCTGTTGCGTTTGGCCACGTTATCCGAAGTAGGTAAGCGGTTGCGAAACATTTTCCACAGGAAAATCTTGATCTTGAGAGGGATTCCCGCCTTCCATAGCCCCCTAGCTATATCCAGCGTAGTACCCTCGGATAGCTTATCGTAGAGGGACTTGATCGTCAATCTATTGGAGGAGGTCAACTTCCACGTAATCGTATCCGCCCCAATACCACGAGTCAGCCCTCCCAAGTTAGCCGCCAAAGCGTCCCAGCTAGCGGCCTCCGTTGTCTCTAGAGACCTAATGAAAGAGCTGGCTGGGGGCTGGGCGCGCATAGCATCGGCCACCATAATGTTGGAGTCCGTTGCCAATTGGTACAGTTCCGGGTGGGATTGCCACAACGGTTCCTGCCCCCACCAATGGTCGAGCCAGAGGCATGTGGACTTGCCATCGTTTACCCGAAACTGCGCACCCACTGTAAATGTCGGTCGAACCGTCTGGATCCCGTTCCAGAAGGCCGAACCGTTGCTTTTAGCATTGAACAAATTCCCATCCGGGAAGTATTTAGCCCGTAGGATGTCTGCCCAGAGTCCCGACTCATTTTGGGTGAGACGCCACCACCACTTAGTAAGCAGGGCCACGTTCATGAGTTTAGAATTCATAACACCTAGGCCGCCAAAAAAAAAATTCCCTACAAACCGCTGCCCATTTCACTAAGTGATACTTGCGCTAGGTCCCAGCTCCTTCCCAAAAGAACCGGGAGTGCGGAGTATCAAGTCGCGCGTGAACCCCATCCGCAAGTAGGAACATTCCCATTGTGAATATAGGAAGGCAGGATAAGCTCGAGTTGGTGAGGATAAGCCTTGTCGCCGAGGACATAAACCTGCCCCTCCAAGGGCTCACTCTGTTAGCGACTTTCCCATACAGCGGCTCCCATTCCGCTATGGTTAGTTTCTTGGTCGATATCGGTAGGCCCACGTATTTAATCAGGAAGCTCCCTAGCTTGCAATTAAGAAGGTTCGCAATCCTAGTTCTTTCTAGATCCTCCATCCCAATGGTGATCACTTCACTTTTCAAAAGGTTGATCTTAAGCCCCGACAAAATCTCGAAAACAAGCAGAAGTAACTTGATGGTAGCTATACTCTGGTCGCCGGGTTCAAATAAGAGCATCGTATCATCTGCATATTGCAGATGCGTAACCCCACCAGGAATAAGGTGGGCTACCAGCCCTTTAATGTGCCCCGCTGCCCTCGCTTTATTAATCATGGTCGCCAGGGCATCCGCAACAAAGTTAAAAATGAGCGGCGAGCTTGGGTCTCCCTGAGGAAGGCCACGTTTGTTACGGAAAAACTTGCCCATTGTGCCATTGACATTGACCGCCGTGTGCCCACTACACACGAGGTGCATGATGCGGTGAACGAATCCTGCCTCAAAACCCTTTTTGAGGAAGACCTCTCTCACGAACTCCTAGTTCACACGATCATACGCTTTCTCGAAGTCTAATTTAAGTAGAACTCCCTGTGCCTTGGTCCGTTTCAGCTCGTGAACGATCTCTTGTAACACAATTGGTCCCTCGAGAATGTTACGTCATTTGAGAAAACCCGTTTGGCTAGAGCTAATAACTCGTTGAGCGGCCGGTGCCAAGCGCGAGGCATAAGCTTTCGCACAAATTTTGAATGGGACGTTAATCAAGGTAATGGGTCTAAAAAGCTTAATGTTATCTGCCCCTTTCACCTTAGGAATAAGGCTAATGGCACCATAGTTCAAACAAGATAGGTCGACCATGCCTAAAGCGAATCCGTTGACAATATCATAGAATAGGTGCTTAAGGCATGGCCAGAACTTCTTAAAGAACTCGACATGCCATCCGTCCGGTCCAGGCGCCGTGCTCGTCTTCATGTCATGAAGAGCCTGGTCTATTTCCTCGTGTAGGAAAGCAAGGACAAGCCTATCATTCTCCTCCTGCGAGACACGTTTCGCGGGATCCCACAGATCATCGCGCAAGCATAACGGTTTTTCAACGGCCGTCCCCAAAAGACCTATGAAAAACTCATAGATATGAGCCACGATTTGTT